CCCAAGCATATGGACCTTCAGGTGTAAAGCCACTAGATTTCTTTTATATGTTATGAAGGCGTGGGAAATATTATGATTTGGATTATGAAGAGTAAAAGTGGGTAATTTAATCAAATAAAAATATTAATGTATATATGTGAATTTGTAGTTATCCGCTATTTAATGAAAGCAGACCTTTCCCACTTCCTAAATAGAAAGAATTCTTTTTAATCATTTTTCCTCTTAATTATTTAATTTAAGGTCTCTTTTGATGATGAGCTTAGAGCTGAGCATTGCACAATTAACCACCTTCTGGGAAAGCATCATCTGCTAGGTGCAAGCTGCGTGTCAGGCTGGATTCCTCACACAACTACTTTAAATATCTGAGAGAGATATAGGAAGAGAGGTTGATGGCCTCAAAAATCCTAGAAACTTACGTGCTCTCTATATTCAAATCTCCCTAAAGTTAGTTTTTTTGTTAAGTGCACTGCAAAAAAAATTAGATCCCATCTGGAGATCCATTCTTAGGAACTGTTCCTGCAGCACTGCTGTTCTCTGAGGCATTCTTTGGGTCTTGGGTTATGGCCTTGGAGTAATTATTTTTCTTAAATTAGATATCCATATGTATTATTCAACTGTATCACATTTTGGATCATCTGATAGTAGTAGGAAAAAAATATATGTGTATCTGGTTTGAAGGACTGTATATTTTGCATACACATGAACAGTATCTCATTAATTTCCCTTATTTCCGACAATAGATGTCTGTATAGATCACTATTTATGCATAGTATTTTTCTCTTGCAGTCTCATCCACTGCGTAGTCTGAGAGAAGTAAGAAATTAATTGTCCTATAAAAGGCCATCTTACCTTCTGTACTCACTCCTAGCTTGAATAATAGCTAAAAAAACCCTAAGTGCCTGTATAGCCCACTAGTCTTTAATGCTGTAAATTATTGGATCAGATTCTCTGCAGAGTCTAATCCAGGCATGTGGTGCCACTGTTCTAATTGTACACATTTGGAGAGAAGTTTGTAGTGAGATCTGAATAGAGGTATGAATAAGTTTGTAAGATTTTTTAAGGTCAAGTGGAGTCATTTATCACCAGTCAAGTGATCTGGGACTTCCTTTAAAAGGTTACATTATTAATTGTTCTACTTAGATAAAAATAAAGCCCTGAAGGTGTGATTAAATAAAAGATCTGAAGTGTTAACAAAGCCCTCATGAAATGCCATACCCAGAAGGTGCTTCCTAGGAACAGAGCTGTGATGATGGACAATGCCAGTGAGATATCTGGGAGATACCAGCTCCATATTACCTTTGGTCAGGCATGGTGGCATGGGACAAGTGTGCAGCAACAGAGGAGCCAGCTCTTATGGATTTGTCTAATCCCTTCCTGAATCCATTTGTTCTTCTGGAAGGCCAGAAGATTGCTCCTCTGTTTCTTGTTCAAATTCATCAATGATACCGTGCTCATGGACAATTCTTTTGAACAGAGTCTGGTTTTTGCTTCTGACTCCACACTGTCTTTTTCTCAGTCTTTCCTAATTCAGTGCTTTGTTTTTCAGGATGGGGATATTGGATCCATCAGCAATGCTCAGACTTTAGGTGCATGGTAACAGACAAGTAATACATCATTTCAGTTGCTACTCTTTTCCTAACTCTTAAAATTATATTTACTGTTCTCTTGTGGCAATCATCTTAGAATCTTAGTATTGTTAAAGTCAGAAAATACCTCTAAGATCACCAAGTCCAACCATCAACCCATCTCTACCATGCTATCATAAACTACATCATAAACTACGTCCCTCGGTGCCACATCCACACTGCAAGTTTCTTAAGCACCTCCAGGGGTGGTGACTCCACCACCTCCTTGGGCAGCTTGTTCTTTCTAGAAAAATAGACACACTAATTACAAGATCTCCTAGGCAGTAATAGTTAATTTAGGGCCCTTCCCTGCTTAATCTTAGCAATGGGTATTTTTTCTCCATGTGCATAATTGTGCATTTCTTTCTGTGAAATCTTGTCTGTCACTTCACTCAGCCCACTCAGTACTGCCAGTTTTAGATGTGACCGTTCTGAATAATAAAAATTCTCCATCATGGAAATTCACAGCTCATGTCTACCTTTGTTCCTTAGCTTTTACCTAATTAATCCCCTATGAGTAGCTCCATCTTACCTGTTCACAGTACATATTCTGCCACCAAAGACTGTTCAAAACTTAAAAGTTTTCTAACACAGTGGTAGTCAGATTTTCATAAACTTGCACATAGGATAATCTGCATGCAATTTGAAGCACACATACTTAAATACTTAAATTCTTCCCTTCCTTAAGCAGAGCATGATGGCCATGGTATTGCTGTTTAGGAGGAGGCTTGGGCAGAGCTCCACTGGAGAGAGCAAGCAGCAACTAGAAGCTAACTTGGATGGTACTAGGAGAGCAGGAGCCATGAGGCAAACTTCCCTTCATATTATCCAGAAATGCACAGAAACCAGTTTCTGCTGAATTGTTGTGGGTTTCAATAGTAATTAATTGCATCTGTCCACTAAGCCATGATGTTGCAAGTCAATGGTCTACATGGCAAACTCTGATAGGGACATGAGTTCCTTCTGTGAAAGCTTTCCACTCTCTGCTGCAGTAAGATCATGTGGCAATGCACTGAACCAGTATATCCTCGAATGAGAAGGACTAAATCCTCAAAAACCAAAGTGCTGTAGAGAAGATGCTTGATAGGCGTGAGCACTGTTCTGTTTCATAGCACTTCAGGACAAACTGATCCCAGAACATTTAGTTACCTTCATCAGACAGGCAAAGTCTATTTGGCTAAGAAGGAAGAAATAGGGGAAAAAAAAGTTCCTTCTCTTTTTCTTTCCATTCCCCAGGATTTGGAGCTGAATCAGACTGTCGTGGCCATCCCACCCCCAGCTTTGGTTTTAGCAGAAATCACAAACACACAGACATCTGCTCTATTCACTCATCAGGTGCAAGAAGTCCAACAGAAATTGTGCTGGCAGATAAACAGGATTCCCTGCCCTCTTTTCCCTTGCTACTGAAGTTGTGTCTATACATAAGTTATTTACACTAGCAAAAACATCTTTAGGGTTAGCAGTGGCAAGCATGGGAATTTTATTTATGACATCTCATCTGCAATGCTTCTTCTTCTTCCTTCTCAGTTTCTTGGTCACTCATATAAGCATTCTTATGCTTATGTGCTACTGATGTGTGGCACAGGCAAGGTACTTTCAGACAGCTCCTGTACTGCATAACAGCAACAGCAATGATTCAGTCCTAGCTTAAATGGTTCTTAGTGGTGCTTTAAGAAATGATTTGGTCAGGGGCTTTCTGTGAATGTAAATTGTTTCACTGTCAATTTACACTTTTACTTATTTGGGGAATCTAGGCATCAAGGGCAAAATACAATCAAGTTCTTTACAAAGTGAGGCCAGTTTTATATTTAATTGTATAGAATGACCTCAGATACTGTGACATAAGCTATTTGCTTGTTTCCTAAGCAGTAAGATATTTCTGGAAGTATATTAGCTTCACCTGTATTATTGAAGTTGTAATTTAATTTACGTTCTTGCCTGAAGGACAATTATGAGAAGCACGCGATCTGGTTATGGCTTTCACTTCGGAGTGTTCACTTCGATTTCTAGTTCTCAGAAAATTAATTTTTAACACTGTATGCAACACTTTCATCCTTATTAGAAGCAAAAATCACTGTGAGGAGTGTATATTGTGACTTTGCATGAGATGTGCAGTCTGTGTTTGTCATCATCACCTTCAGAAAATACTTACAGGGGACTGAGAAATTTGTTTTGCAGTGATGGAGTATTTTGAAAATATTCCCTGTTAGTGCTTTGTTTGATAACAGCATTGATAGCCAAGATATCTGAAGGAAATGTTGATTCATCTTTTGCTTTATCTTTTCAAATTTCTCCTTAGATGTTAGAATGTTTAAGGATATATTATTTTAAAAGGAAAAAAATTGCTTTTAAACACCATTTGGAGGTGGACAGCGAGGCAGAGCAGCTTTGGGCTAAGTTTGCTATGACTGAAGTGTGGGATTGGCAGGGAATTCTCAGACACTACTACAATATTAAGAGAATGAACAGTCACATGAAATTGTGATTAGCGTATTCTAAGTAGAAAAAAGAAAAATACCATATTCTTTGGGGGGAAGATGGAGAGATGGGAAGTTGGCTATAGCATATCCATTTAGGTAAAAATGGGAGGAGAAACACCAGGAGAGAGTATATTTAGAAAATTCAGTGGAAAATGAGGGAAAAAATGGGACAAGAGAACAGATGGAGCACACAGGGAGATGGAGAACCACAAAGAGCAAAAGCAGCAAAGTTGATCTGTACAGTTTTAAGAATGTGTGTTTGTGGGCTTCTATTTGATGTAGTTAATGTGTCTATACACATACATAATTAACTGCAAATTCATGCTGGCATGCATCTAATTAGAAAACTGCACATCTCTATAAATCTTCAGTATGATTTCTGCTTATCAATTAACATGTTTGTGTGGAGGAGGAGAACAATGTAGTGAACCCTGGGCACTTTCAGTAATAAAATCTGTTTGTATATAAAATAAATCATGTCTGTAGAGCCTCTATTACAAAATACGGACAAAAGGATCCTGTAAACTCAGAGGTGGGAGACAATTTAAGACTACTACTTAATGTGCAAATTTATCCCCTTCAGTGTTTTAATGCCTTATTCTTCTTCTGATCTGTTTATTGTCTTGTTACGTGCTTGGTTTGTAAACTAGCTGAACCATAAAACTGATGATGGACTTTGTATGTATATGCCATGTACATATAGATTCTGATTTTCTAGCAAAATCTGTGTTGTTTTAATACAGATGGCATTGCATAAAGGCAAGTGTTTTATGCACAAAGTATCTTTTCATTCAGGTGGAACTTTCTCCCAAATTAGCTCAGTTTAGCTCTTCTGTTTGTGAGCACCACCACTTACTGCTGCGTAAGCTAACTGTGACTATTCTTCCTTGTCTAGCTGTACCCCATAAAATAGGGCGGATAATTGATGGAAGTCCTGCTGATCGCTGTGCAAAACTTAAAGTCGGAGACCGGATCTTAGCTGTGAATGGCCAGTCTATCATTAACATGCCTCATGCAGATATTGTGAAGCTAATTAAAGATGCAGGTCTCAGTGTAACACTTCGCATCATTCCTCAGGAGGGTAAGTCAATGGCCCTTAAAAACAGGAAGAAAATTTTGAGTAGCCTCCAATTAGCTTGAATTATGTCAGTGCTTGAAAGAACATCTTTTGTTTCACATTCTCAGCTGTAACATACAGTACACCAAAATTACAGCCTTAGAATCAGCTGGAATAATATCTGAATACTTGAAAAGGTTTCTTGCTATGCAAAAGGTATTTAAAGGAAATTTGGAGAAATCTGAGAGAGAACAGATTAATAGAAACTCAGTTTTCATGTCTTCTGTAAGAACTGCCTTTTACATGGAGAAGCATCCTATGAGAGAGCTAGATTTCAAGTTCCTGTCCTTTAAACAAAACCTTTAAGTCAGCAAAGTGACTGACAAGGCACTGCAAAGGCTGTCACCAGGCATGTTCCAATATCAGCTGCCTGTGACAAAGTGATGTGAAGGAAGAGTTCAGATTTGGTAGTTTCCTCCACATGTGCAAGGGTAAGAGCACAAGGCAGGAAAGACCTGAAACCTTAAACATCTCCTTTATAAGGTGAGGATAAGGAGACAGATTAATTATTCTGATCATTACTGCACAGCTTATCAGTGGAGGTCCTTTGATGTTGGCTTCATGGGTTTTGAGGTTTATTTCAGGACTTTTTGTAGCTTAGTGGTCTGATTACCATCAGGACCAAAAGAGTCACATACACGAGGTAATGCAATTACTTAATTACTTAAGTGACCCTCACTTTCTGCTTTTGCATCCAGCAACTGGGTGAGGAATTAGCCTGACACTAGCCATGGATTGCCACTGAGGGAATGTGCCTATTTTGCTAAATGAACTCAGTGAAGGGAAGAACACATAAACACACAAGCTCAGAATTCACCCCAGAGAGCTGCAAGAACAATAGTGTATGATCACCAGGGGTCAGTTTTGTGAGTAGCTACAAACAAGTGTTTTGCTGTATGCAATCCATGCAGTTTATTTAGGCCTTCCTTGCACACTGAATAATGCATATTAGCAAATTACTGACATTTAAGTATTTCCCATTTAAGTAAATGGGAACGTTAAACTAGAAGACAAGCAGATGTACCCCTGGGATGCAGTGCTACAAGCTGCTCTTGGTTGCTGGTGGAGCAGCGTGTGTGCAAGGCAAGGCTGCCCCATGTGGCTGGGTGACATTGGATGCCTCATTTGCCTTCTGGTATTAGCTTCCCAATTTATAAATCAGGAAAAAATCTAATACCTCTGTAATGTACTTTCAGGTGAAAAATGCCATATAAATGCAAAACAGTTTTAGAAGCAGCTTATGATTTGACTTGTTCATCCATAGTTATGAGAGTAATGTAGAAACCAAGGACAATATTCTCAGTCTCTGCCTCTGAAACCCTGCAATACAAAAGAGGCTCACAGATGCAAAATGGGCAATTAAAGCCTTAAGCATAGTAATTACACAGACAAGTATTGCTTATGCCTGCATGAGGAGCGCTTTAAGTGCAGATATACAAGCTTTTTTGACGATTAAGCCTAAATTGAAAAGATTTTTAATAAAGCATCCTAAACTTTCAGAACAATTATGAGCATAAATTAAAGAAGCAGAAAGCCGTTATAAGCACAGTCAAATGGGACAAACTCACTCATTACAAAATGTAAAATAGTTCAAAATTCAAACTAGATTCAGATGCAAAGATCTGGGCAAGATCTGGATCTTGTCTACCTATTGTCTGTGTACCATGCCACACTGGCCTCACTCATTTTGTTGCAAGCAGGAATAAAAAAAAAATACAGTGTGTACCTTGTTGTTGATAATGTATATATGATGACCTGTGCAGTTCTCTGTCCTCTGGCAATAGGAGTCTTTCATATGCTTCCGAGCAATGCTGAGCCAGTGTGTTGGGAGAAATACATCTGAAATAAGTTTGATGCCAAATGTGTCTTCAGGGGGAAATGTGGAGTGCCATGCCTGATTGTAGAAGGCCATCTCCCAGTCCAGCCTCTCCATCTTTTTGAGTTTTACATTGCTTGAAAAACGGAAGGCTGGTTTTCTGCAGTGTGAAGCCCTGGTCATTTGGATCAATATAGGGAAATACATTGGTTTTGCTGGTCAGTCATAATATTTTATTGTTCACAGTCCCCAAAGATATAAAAACTAGAGGGAACTCTTGTTGAGCTCAAAAAGCAGGAGCTAACACAATGCACCAATGGTTTAGCTTTCATGACAACATCTGTCATCCCATAATAGTGCTGAGAGCACTAAAATCACTCATTTTCTCAAAATGAAAAGTTTTCAAATATCAGTATTTCCAGGCTTTTGTAGCAACCATGACACATGGAAGCCATTTGCCCTGTTCATTTGGGTTTTAAATAATGAAGTTGTCAACCAGAGCTGCAGAATTGGCCAGGCTTTCAGATCTCAGAGAATACCAAGAGGAACCTATTAGCCTCAGACATCTTAAATTGTAATTATAACCTAAGAGAGCAAAAGGGACAAATCATACATTTCTGGAGTGCGACTGACAATGGTCATCATCTACCTTTGCCCTTTGTTAAATGCCATTCTGCGACAGCTCTTTAATCTCTGTCTTCCCGTTACGCAGAGCTGAACAGCCCAGCCTCAGCACCCAGCTCAGAGAAGCAGAGCCCCCTGGCCCAGCAACACAGCCCCCTGGCCCAGCAGCAGCAGCAGCAGCAGCAGCAGCAGCAGCAGAGCCCCCTGGCCCAGCAGCAGCAGCAACAGCAGCAGCAGCAGCAGCAGCAGCAGCAGAGCCCCCTGGCCCAGCAGCAAAGCCCTGTCACCCAGCACAGCCCCGTGGCACAGCCCACACTCCCACAACCCCTGCAGCTGCAGGGACACGAGAACAGGTAAGAAAATAGCAACTTCACAGCCTGCAGTGCCTTTGTGGAGATGGCATGGGCTCTGACACCCAGTGCTGCTGGGATCATGCTCACGGGTGGTAAACTGTGCTAACGTGTCTTCTGTGAGTAGCCTGGGCTGCATCAAAAGTAGTGTGGCCAGCAGGTCAAGACTGTCCCCTTCTGCTCTCGTGAGAACCCATCTAGAATTATTACACTCAGCTCTGGAGATCCCAACGTAAGAAGAACATGGAGCTGTTGGAGTGAGTCCAGAGGAGAGCTTCAAGGATGCTTAGGGCTGGAGCACCTCTCCTTAAAAGAGAGGCTGAGGGAGTTGGGATTGTTCAGGCTGGAGAAGAAAAGGAAACCTTATAGGGGCCTTGCCATAACTTCAGTAGCCTACAGGAAGGCTGCAGGACTCTTTAGCAGGGGAGTGTTGTGATAGGACAAGGTATAATGATTTTGAACTAAAAGAGGGAAGAATTAGCTTAGATAGTGGAAAGAAATTATTTCCTGTGTGGGTGGTGAGGCACTGGAACAGGCTGCCCAGAGAACCTATAGATGCCACATCCCTGCAAGTGCTCAAGGCCAGGCTGGATGGAGTCCTGGACAATCTGTGCAGGTGTCCCTGCACATGCTAGTGGGTTGGAACTAAATGGTCTTTATGGTCTTTTCCAACCCAGTTCTGTGATTCTATGACTAATATTATTCTTAATAGGGAACTGCCCAAACTTCTTCAAATATCCACCAGGATCATATTTTTGCTAGGGAACTGAATACTTGCATATTCCCTGCTAATAATTTCATCAATAGCATAGTACTTTCTTACTATGTTATCAGTCACAAAGCAGATCTATCAACATGTGATGATGATATGGCCTTTTTTTCCATTATCTTATGTGTCATTTTCTTTTGCTCATTGCAGTTCTGGAGTCATGAAGATATTTTTTATTAACAGGTTTTCTCCACGGTGCATAATTTTCCAGCCAATATCTCATGTATAACTTATGTATATGCACTGAAAAAGTTTATCAGAGATGGAAAAGAAATAGCAGGGGACAGATGTGTTAAATGCTTAATATATCAAAAGCACACTCATGCTATGCAATGATACAGCTTTCTGTTATCTCCAATCAACACTGTTTAGACTTCAGGTTAATTTTTGGTATGTGAAATGAAGCTGATTGCACTGTCTTTATACTAATCTTCAGCAACTGACATATATCAAGGCCCTTGTCCCCAAACAGTAGGTACTGGTTACAGAATTTTAAATTGTTGCTTCTGGTGATTCTTGAGTTCAGTTGTTATGCACTGCACCCTCCAGTTTTTCTTGTTCAGCAGATGTAGTACTTTCACTTGCCCAAAAGAGTTTTCTCCCAATTAGTCACACTTGGCAGATTTCTTTCCATTGTATTTTATTGAATATTTCTCCAAAAGTGATCAGTTCTTAAAAGGCATGCACTTCTGACAAAATGCAGTGTACAGCTTTCACAAAAGTCTCTCTGGGTAGCTGTAAGTCAATATTTAATATCTGCTGGCCTTGGAATTTTCAGAGGTGATCTGTGGATGTTACTAATTAAAGTTTCATAAAGAAATTTTGTAATGGTTTAACTGATAGTCATGATCTATAATTGGTCATTAGTCCATTTACCTACTCAACAGCTGTAAATAAAAGCATTATCATCTTAGATGCAGCTGTGGTAGAACATTGAGAACCTGCCTAAGATTGACTCTCAGTCCAGAAAAAGGTCCACTATTGCTAATTGTAAAGTGACGTTACCAGATTTTATAAATATGATTACATCTGGTTTGTTTAGTCACATATATTGCTTCTGTATAAAAATTAAAATACTAAAAGATGCTTAAAACTCTTAGGGATCCTATCAGTATTCTTTATTTCACTGTTAATAAGGCTCAGTATCACATTGAGCCTCTTCTTCTTCATCTTCTTTTTACATGGGATTAAGATGCTGAGTGAAGAAAGTGAGAGGATTGCATGTATACTTGCAAGTCTTACTATAGATACTGTAGATGTACAGGTTTTAAAAGATTGTTTGGCAGCAGGCTATTTCCATCTTCTCATAAATGCTAAAGAGAAGTAGTGGTTCTGGTACTTTCGTGTCTGGTCAGACACACAGTTAATTGAAGTTAGTGTGTAGGAAGACCTGCAGAGTGGTTTTGTAACTGCACTATCAAAGTAACAGCATTATGAAACATATCAAAAACATTCAGAATGTTTGGATTGATTACTTATCTTCTCAGAGATAAATTAACATGAGCAAAATCGATGCTCTCCTTCATCCAAACTGCCATTTATTTCAATCAATGCATTCTTTCCAAAATCGCTTTCACAGCTACATACACACACGGTCTCTTGGTCAACTGCAGCACTACAGAAAGTCCCATTTCCTTTGAAATGTTAGAACTCATCTTCCTTTAACCAGCTGACAATTAAGGCAATATTTTATTTCTTATTAATTCCTCATTAATCAAATTTGTTTTTCTTTTACCTTGTGTGACTTCTTTCAATAACTACTGATTATGTCCTGTGGGCTTGCAGCCAGGCACTATTGCAGGGTGTGCACAGTAATAATAAACACTGTATTAACGTGTTTTGTATCAAATGCCTTTCATTAAAAAGTTAACAGCTAGTAAAAAGAATGCATCCTTTTTTAACCTTTAGAAGTTCACAATAATGATGATTTATGTCACTGAAACAGAGTGGTCTGAAGGTCTGCACTGTTGTTTCATTTACTCTATAGAAATCTTAATTTGGAGAAAGAATTCATAAACTTAGTGGACTCTTTTATGGTAAGCATTGTGGAGGTGTTTACATGCAGTTTCATCTTCCAGGCAGGCAAGATAAAAGGGAATCAGGATGCTTCTTTCTGTGTCTGTTCCTCTGAGCCTAATCCCAATCTCACTGATAGCAGCTGGAAAATTTCACAGTATGACCTGAGGAAGAAATGCTTATGCTCATGTTTCAGAAGTGCTCGCCGATTTTGGATGCCTCAACTATTTACCCTCAAAAGTTTTGCTTATCTGTGAAAATTTGCTCTATGGAATTTTGCAGTCAGGCAATTTGCTTTCACTCCTGGATATGGCATGTAATGCATATTTCTTCACACTTTCGCTGCTTTCTGAAACCAAGCCATTTTGCCTTTCTTAGTTATAGGTCAGAAGTAAAAGCCAGACAGGATGTGAAGCCTGACATCCGACAACCTCCATTTACAGACTACAGGCAGTCTTCAACTGACTACCGCCAGCCTCCCCTGGACTACAGGCATCCTCCCGTGATGGATTACCAGCAGCCACCACCCCTTGACTACAGGCAGCCACCCTTGCTGGACTACAGGCAGCACTCTCCCGACACCCGGCAGTACCCCCTGTCAGACTACAGACAGCCCCAGGTACAAAATGCTGACAGCTCTCCTCAACGGAAAGCACTGCAGTTGGAAGAGAGAGATCATGTATTATTAAAGCAGCTGACGTTACAAGAGGAAAAGGCACCTTCATTGTTTTTACACTGAGTTACTGTTTTTGCGTAGAGGACATGAATGCAGAGCCATTAATATTAACGAAGGACCTTGTGATCTGCCAAATAACACTGCATTTCTAATTGTGCGACTACAGTGTTAAATAAATGCTATTTTTGAGGTTTTATTATTTGAGAGTTAAAATCAAAGTTCTAAAATAAGCTGTCCTTGTATCAGCAGAAGTACTTAGGTGAGATGGCATTTCTAAAGCATTGTTGAAAATCAAGATTTTATCTAATCCAAATAAATAAATAAGTAAAAGTGAATCCTGATCAATAAAATTACTTTTTGGTCGGTAGTAGTCTGGATGAGGAGAAACAAGCTTGTGCAACCAGTTTCTTTGAGATGAGGCATGACCTCACAAATTCAAATAAATAAATATTAGATGAACCTTGGAAAAGACTCTGCTCGTGATAAATAGTTACTGACATTTGTGAAGCTTTAAGGATCTAGCTTAAAGACCTGATGAAAATATCCTCCTTTCTTCTTACATGTATGCAAGGGGGAAAAAAAAAAAAAAAAAAAAGAAGAAAAAAAAAAAGGGCCACAGAGGTAAAAAATATATTAAATAAGACAGTACGTTTTTCTGGACACTGTGTGCTGAAACCATATATAGACGTTATTTTTGTGTCTGTGTTTTCCAAGCCGGATACATGAACTCTATCAGTGAAAATATCCAAATTCTTAAATGGAATCCAGAGAAACTTCTGAGTTTATTCATTTCTGCTTCAGAAAAGGAAATATCTGTCCCTATGTCCACAGCCTTAAAGACACTTTTTAGCATCTAGAGATGCCTAGGCTGCCCATTTCTCACCGATCTATTTAATTCTCTGTCCACTGGTATATACAGCTCAAGTTTGCTGTTGTTTTCCTCTTGATGCCATGACTTTTGCACATTTGGCTGCCAGTGGATCAGCAGCAACAGAGCAAGTTCCTACCGAGACCCCTCTGTGGTACTAGTAGTTCAGATCTGCCAAGGAAAAACCTGGAAATATGAATCTCAGTCCCTACAGGATGCAGAAGTGAAGTTCAAATCCCTCACTTCCCACCTCCTCCTCAAGTTATATATTTTACTTGAAGTGAGGAGAGATGCTGCACTTTGTGACTCCATGCAGTCCAACCTACCGAGCAAGATGAGTTGAAGCACTGGCACAGGTTGCCCAGAGGGATGATGGATGCCCCATCCCTGGAGACGCCCAAGGTCAGGCCAGACAGGGCTCTGTGCACCTGATCTAGCTGCAGGTTCCCTGTTCATTGCATGGGAGTTGAAGCAGATTGCCTTTAAAGGTCTCTTCCAACTCAAACAGTTCTATGATCCTGTAAGTTCTGCCAGGAATTTAGGAGGTGCCTCTACTACTAATTTTTGCATTATAATGATGTTTGTACAGAACTGCCTGCTATCCCACTTGCCAGATCAGCACTTCTGTATAGACATAAAACCTTGCCCTTTGATACCATGACAGTATTGAGGGTGAATGTGGAAATCACCCTGAGAGTTTTGGTTCTAGGTAACTGCTGCATGACATCATTTCAGGATAATTTAGATGTAGGCATTTACATTTTGCTAAAATCCAGTTTTAATGACCAAAACAGTTGTTCTTATTCTCATCTATCCTGACAGTGCAGAATTATACTTTGAAGGTGCATTTGCTTGTATTAATGAGTAGATGCATATTTGAAGAGATGTATTTTAAAGTTTTTTTAATGCCTATTATGTCACTGATTATTATTATGGTTAATTGTCTTTCATTTTGTTGTTGTTTTTTTTTTTTTCTATATAGGACTTTGATTATTTCACCGTTGATTTAGAGAAGGGAGCCAAAGGTTTTGGGTTTAGTATTCGAGGAGGAAGGGAGTACAAAATGGATTTGTTTGTGCTGAGGTTAGCAGAAGATGGACCAGCAATAAGAAATGGAAGGATGAGGGTAAGTAAAATAAATTATAAAAAGCTTGTCAACTTTAACAGATGTATTTGGGATGGGATCAGACAGATGGGGTCAAATAGAAAGTAATTTTTTTCTGATTATGTCTTAAAGAACCAATACCAAATGCTTTCAATAAGACAATCTTGTTGTGAACGAGTTGAAACAACTTGAAATTACATAGATTCTTTGTGGAAGAAATGCATTGTTGATAATAGCTTTTATTTTGTTGTACTCATATCAAAGCATCTTCAAAATCTCTGTGAAAGCATTTAGTACATCTTTGATAGTAATATTGGCATAAATAACAGTTATTTCTCTAGTCACAAAAGCAGTATTAACTGTGAGACATTTAGCTGATAGTTATGATACTGAAGACATGGTCTGTGTTAATTTACTAACTTAATCAAATTGCTGTCCTATTCTTTGATGATTTTGTTTATTGATATAATTCAAGCTGTAGGGATCAGTTTTCACTACTTGGTGATACACCTCTTATTGCACTTGTGTCCTTTAGAGTAGTAATTACAAATTTTGCAAATGCTGTGATTGTTAAATGGATTCTGTTTCACAGTTATAACAATCTCATCAAGTTTGACTTCATACTGAAAAAGCATTGCCGTCAGTATAGAATTAGGATCTTTCTGTTTGTTATTTTTTGATTCACTCTTAATCTGCCACTTTGCAGAATTTTACAATTAATTTAGTCCTCAGTTGTAGCATGGAGTATAAATTCCTGATGCTGGGAGCTTGCATAGAGAAGAAATGGCATAAAGTCTCTGCAAGATGGAAGCCAGATGGGCAACACAATGCTGAGAACTATTTCCACAATGTTTGCTGTGTGAAATTGATTAAAGGTGCATTAATGTTGCAGCTAGAACTTAAGCTGATGAGTATTTTTGGTGTTATCATTCTTTCCTGCACTAAACAGTTCCATGAAACTTGACTGCTCTTAATAAAAGGCCATAAGCAAGATGTACATTATCAGACAATGTGACTCAAGATCTGGAAAAAATTGTGCATTTAATAAGCTCTGGAATCACATATTTGGAAAAAATATTGCTAAGACAACAGAACTTGATGTACAATGCTTTTAGAGAGGTTCATTTCTAGTAATAATGTGTACCAGTCAAAAATAATCTAATACATTAAAATCTGTGCATCATTTGAATAAACTAGTACCATAGAACAAAGTTACTCACCATGTGAGCAGCATAAATATACAAATACATATATATGTGTGTGTGTGTATACGTATATATATTTAATATATATTATTACACAGCTTTCTTCAATTTCATTAGGAAAAGTCCTGTAACTTACCGTGAGAAATGTTAATTTATTTTCTAAATTAGCTTATTTTAAATCTTGTTGATGTGGCCACAGTACATAGCCAAGTCTAATGCTGGACAGGTAGCTGAAACTTAGGGTTTTCTCTACCCAGAGTTTTCTCTCACAAGCACCACTCTTTGAAATCACCTTTACCCTCCATCCCAGTCATTGAGGCTTGGGTTGTTCTCCTGTTTAATACTTATTTTAACCCCCTCAGTAAAAAACTTCCCCATGACGTCTAATCTAAATTTCCCTTCCTTTAGTTTAAAACCATTCCCCCTTGTCCTATCAGTATCTACTCCACACTGTCTACGTAAAAAAATTATTTTCCTCATGTTTATAAACTCCCTTTAAATACTGGAAGGCAGATGATAGGAAGAGAGATACAAATTGAAGCACCCTTCTAGTTTCATCTTCAGTACCATATGAATTCCAGTGAAGCTTGGGTGCAGATGAGAGAACAGACTCACAGACTGAGGATAGCAAGTGCTGTAATTCATGGGATTCCACTGGCCCTGCCAGAACTGTCTGTCTCTGAAAAGAATTATGGAAGGAGGAAAAGGTTTCATACAGCTTGTTACCCTGTTTGCATTTCCAGCTAGAAGTCCTAATCTTACTTTCCCCTGGGAATAGCACGCCAGGCAGTTAGTGTTTTTATTGGAAACAAATCCACAGAGGAACTCTCCATTTTAAGACTGCGAGATCTAAAATAGTCTTTAATTGCTCTTCATGACCAATTGAGCCTCCTTCTTCAATTTTCTGCTGATTTGTTCAGGGAACCTGAAAGGTGGAAGACTACAGATTTGATGTCATACAGAGTTCATCAGTCTCAGCTGCATATTGCTTTTCCAACCAAGGACCACTTTCTGACAACCTATATATATACTGCAGTACATTTTAAGATTTGACAAGCTATTGCCTTAAAAAACAATTTTAAAACTTTCACAGTCTTAGTGCCCTAATCTTGGTCCTCGTACTTCTGCACGCGCTCAGTCTTTTGTTTGGGCTCATACACTCTCTGTAGAAAGCAGAAGCATAAATCCTCGTTTAACTTGGACTCATCCATCACAAGACATGGGAAGGAAACATCCATCAAAAAACACAGAAGTCTGCAGTGCAAGTGTCCTCCGCCTGCATGGCTGGTAAACTATTCTCAACCAGTGTTGGATAGTCAAAGCTATAATTACATAACTTCATATAAATCCATATGTCAAGTCAAAATCTATGGTTAATATTGCCAGGATTTTACTGAGAATCACAGATAAGAGATGTGAAGATTCGTCACAAAAGACTTCCATGGAATGTACAGCTAGTACAAATTCCTCTTAATTCTATCCGTACTGCAGAAATCAAGCTACAGTTGGTAATTTTGAAGCTTACTACAGCAGCTATTTACAGAACTTGAAAAATGTGGCTTAAAATACTTTCAGTAAAACAAATGAATTTTCATAAATAGCAAGATAGCTTAGAAGTATTGAAGAAAACTTTTGTTAGATATAAGGAAAATGATATGAAAGAGAAAATGATTATCAAGAACCTTAAATGTGAGATAGATTCTCTGAGACCCTCTGAGTTCTAGCCCCAGAGCAGAGCAATAATATGGCAGATGCTGTAAGTAACAACAGTAGTAAATTGAATCAGTCACCAGAGTTGAGGAACATAACACTGACGATGTGGAGCACAGTCTTTGGAGCTGTTGGAGATTCAGACTCTCCCAGCAACAATTTTACAGGTCTATTTAAATGAGTCTCATGATAGCTCATTTTTTTTTTCATCTCATACTGAGAACAATGATCAAGCATTCCCCCTTGTCTTATCACTACCAGACCGTATAAGAAGTCAGTCTCCTTCCTATTATAAGCTCCCCTTTAAGTACTGGAAGGCCACAATGAGGTCTCCCTGGAGCCTTTTCTTCTCCAAGCTGAACAAGCCCAGCTCTCTCCACCTTTTTTCATGAGAGGTGATCCAGCCCTCTGATCATATCTGTGGCCCTCCTCTGCACTCTTCTTGTGCTGGGAACCCCAGGCCTGAATGCAATCCTCTAGATGGAGCTTCACAAGCTTAGAGCAGAGGGGGGACAATCACCTCCCTCTCTCTGCTGGCCACCCCTCTTTTGTTGCAGTCCAGGATACAGTTGGCCTTCTGAGCTGCAAGCACACACCGCCAGTTCACATCCAGGTTTTCATCCCTCAGGACCCCTAAGTCCTTATCCTCAGGACTGCTCTCAGTTCTTCACCCAGACAGTACTAATATCCAGGACTACCCCAACTGAAATGCAACATCTTTCACTTGGTCTTGTTAAACCTCATTAGTGCCACTTTTAAGGACTGTCTAGGTCCCTCTGGTTGGCATCTTTTCCCTCTATTGTATCAACTGCACTAATCAGCTTGGTGCCCACAAACCTGCTGAGGGTGCCCTCGATCCTTCTATGTCATTGATAAAGAAGTTGAAGAGCACCGATCCCAAGACGGAGCCCTTGGGTACACCACTCATGGCTGACCTCCACCTGGACGTAAATTCGTTGACAGTGACCCTGTGGCTGTGGCCATCCAACCAACTCTTTATGCACCAAATAATAGAGCCTTCGGATCCGTATCTCTCCACTTAGGATAAGGCTGTGGTGGGGGCCATATCAAAGGCTTTGCTTATATTCAGGTAGATATCATCAGTTGACCATCTTTTGTCCACTGATGGCACCCCATTGTAGAAGGCCACCAGACTGGTCAGGCATTATCTGCCCTTGGTATAGCCATTCTGGTGTCTCAGCTCACTTCCTAGCCTCACATGTGCCTTGATATATCTTCCAGGAGGATCTGCTCCATAACCTTCCTAGGCACGGGTATGAGGCTCACTATTCTGTAGTTCCCTGCAACTTCCTTTCTCCTTTTCTTGAAAATGGGAGGGGAACCGTCAACTGCTCTCAGGGGAATTGTTACAAATACTCATAATGTTTCCAAGATGTATGAGATATGATCTGTGAATGGTATCTACAGCAGCCAGCATGCTCATTGTAACCAGCTTCAAAGACCCGTGGCTGAAGACTGGAAGAATACAGAATATATTGCACAATTAGGCTTATTGAATGTGAAATTCATAAAGAATGAGGACAAAATTTGCTTTTTAATACACAGTGTATGTCTGTGTCATTTGTCACTTCATGAGTTACATCCTCTTTTTCACTTCTACCATAAAAGTCATACTTCTTATCTCTGACAGTTCTAGCTTCATTGCCTTGTCAACGCATTTTTCTCAGTCTGCGTATACCAGTTAGCCCTATCTCTAACTTTCTCATATCTACCAACACAATTTTTCTCATTTTTTAATATATTTGTAAAACAGACTTCTGAAACACAAGCAGCACACAATTTTATATCTGTCATGCTTCTCATTCTTTCTTTGGCTCTTTGTTTTGTTGCTTTTCTGCTGCCAGTGCTCCTCTTTATTTCAAGTACAGACTTGGATCTAGAAATAGACACAAGGGACAAAATATTCCTACAGTGTTTACTGTGATCTTCCATGCTGTTGCTGCATAAGAATTTGTGAGGCTTCAGTCTGTTCTAGCTTGCCAAGTGAGCGGTGTAGTGAGACTCACCCTTTAATAGTAACTAATAGGTGATGTAAGCAGGTTCATGGCATTCTGCAAACTAGCAATCTGTGTATTTAATCCTTTC